ACTTGGATCGATTATAAATGTGAATTAACTTCAAGCGTCTAAGGATTATTTTTTTTTCTTTTTCTTTCAGATTTAACAACTTAAGTATTTGGCAATTTCAAACATCGAAACATTAACAATCAAACAACTTGTTAAAGTTTTAAGAGTGCGATTGGAAAATTGTTCGTAAATTCAAAGAATCTGGGTTGGTGGCAGATGTGAAAACACCTCTGCGTGCTCGTTTACATCGTTCAGCTGAAAACATTGCTGCAGTGCACGAGAATGTGGCCGAAAATCCAGGACACATCTATTCGTCATCGCGCGGAGGAATTGAACCGCTCCACAACAAGGTTATATCGTTTCCAGTTGCAGTCTCGGTTGGTCGATTATGTTGACCAAAAAAATCGCAAAGTGCGCGAGATGCATTTCTGTTTGAACGTCTATTTTCGTAATAGGCTTCGATAATTTAACTTTTAATATTTTCGGCATCTTAACAATAGCAACACCGACATTAAGTTAACAGTCGTAGCAGACTTTCATGAAAATATTGGAAGAATCTCATGTCATTATTATATTTCTATATATATGATACTGTTGTAGAGTAGTTTTCACAGTGGAGGCTTGTATTTCACTAAGTCTGTTCTAAAAGGGTCCGATGTACAAAACGTTAGGAACGTGAAATAATAATTAATGACGCAGCAATCTATTTGGGGTGGTTGATACTTCAATGTCCGACATCAACTGACTCACTCAACTCCACTGAGCTCAACTGGCGACCGCTACTACTACTTATTATGTGTGGGAGAGCCTATTACAATAGAATAGGTAATGTTCTAGTATAACAGATACCCCTTTTTATAGAACACCTTCAAAAGTCAAAATTATCTGAGATTAGTAGATGATCCCCAATGAGGCCTTATGGTTGGAACGTTTATTGGAATTCAGTTTCAGCCCAGAATTGAAGAAGATCTCAAATATCTGGTTTTCTTTTGTTAATTTACCCCAAGCAAGGCTTTAATGCCACTGTGATGCTACTAGAAGCGAAAGAGAATGAAAAGACTTTAGCAGAAACCGGATATCCAATGCCAAGCAGGAAACAAGGGATTAATCTCTACTCCTGTTCAAAAGACGAGGGAAGTAGTGTGTACCGAGCGATAAGTAATATGTTGCCTAAGATGCTGGAGAAATGCTCTACTCACTGTACAGCTTTAAAATGTATCTGACTCATTCTACCACGCTTTAAGCTTACTAGAGTCGGATTAGATGAAAAAGAGATCGTGTATTTCTGGTATATCTGGGCTGGAGCTGGTTTGATAGCGCCCAAAATCGCTTACCCTGCCTTGTAGGTGTTGGCATATTTTCCACTTTGCTACTATTTTCTCGCAAGCCTGTCTTTGCTGGATCGCTATTCCTAAGGCAAAGAGGTCCATTTTTTAGTTCCACTAATTCAGACTATTTATTCTAAACGCCGCCTAGCGATCCTGGAATCACATCAATGATAAGATTAAATGATAACAAGATTTCACAATATTCAAGCACTTTCCTCGGTATTTTAGCTATGTTCTACCACGTTGTCTCATGGACTTTTTTTAAATATTAATCTTATTAGAAAATTATAGAAATTTAAGACTTTGAATCTAAAATTGTATTTTCGAAATCTATAAAATAATATATCTGTTAATATATTTAATCGTTTTAGTTTAGTTTGGCAAAAGGGCATATCTGTAGAGCGCCGAGTAAGAACATAATTCATACATTCTAAAGTATATGCAACGCCATTTTTGGCGTTTGTTCTCTGACGGTCTAATAATCATAAATATTTGGCAAGTGCATGAAAAAGTGCAATCGCGAGGAAACTCATCGATATTCGTTTGGTTTTATTTGAAAAGCGATTAGCATATGACGACCAAACATCGTTTCTCTTCCGACCATTGTTAGAAGCAACGTCGAGACTGGTCAGTACGTAGATGGGTGACCGATGACATATGGCTAAATGCTGTAATCATGGATGTGCGGACGGTGTAATGGTGGCGACACGGGATAAGAAATCGGAGAACAAAGTTCGAATTCGGGTCGAGTTTGGTAGATTTACTTGCGCGCGAACACCCTTTGGCAGTCAGGAATCGAAACGAGCCATGATCTTCGAAGCGTGTTTTATCCTCCCCATTTTGCAGTAACACGTATTGGGCTAGCGCGCTTGTGGGGATGGTCCATTCTACGCCGTGAATCTGCGGAAGACGAACGTCCAACGAAAGACCTTCCCAGATGGAAGAGAAGAAATAATTACTTCTAAAAAAAAAAGATCTATATGTTCTGTTTCGAGATTAAATCCCTTTCGATTTCTGTCGACTTTATTTTAATTAAGTACAATATTAATAACGCGCTGGAGACTATAGTAGACAAGACAATACAAAAAGAAAGACGATTTCTGGAACTATTTTAAGCTCTGAACACCGGTTTAAAAACAGAAAGAAAAAAGGAAAAGATTAAAAAAAAAAAAGAGCCTATTTAGCAAATGCTCTCAAGGTCTTTTGCACAGGATTTTCCGAAGGCAATTTCTTGGTGTGTTATTGCCGGCGCTAGTGCAATATTTGGGTGGTCGCTGGGGATGAGAAAAGTGGAAGGGGGGTGCTTGACGGTCGGGATATGAAATCGCAAAGATATATCGCTACAGCAGCAACAGAAGCAGCATCTAATTCCAATTCTTCAGTCTCTAAGTTCTCATATCCTGGAAGAAATGTCTTATTTCGCGCTTGTCTTATTCCTGCTAATTTTCATCTGCGTTCTTCCCACACCTACCAACCATTTTCAATTATTACCGTTCACCGATCAGACCAACAAATGCACATACAAAGACGTCATACAAATATAAAAACATATATGAGCTTGCGCATGCGCGTGTGTGAATAGAGATGCTATCCAAATGTCCGGGGAATTAGAAACGCAAAATGGCTTCCTCAAAGAAAGAAAGAAAGAAAGAAAGAAAGAAATGTAGGTCTTTTGTATATCTTTTGTTTTCCATGTGTTGCGATGTCGAAAGTTGTGTGAAACGTTTGGCGATATACAGGAAACACTAGGTGATTGAGAGCTGATAAGATTGAGCAATATTCTATTCAAATTACGCGAAATCTTCTTCCTTGTCAAAGCACTTGATTATGTGGTATATATTAATCACAAAGCTCTTACATTATACAATAGAAATTTCCTAACAAAATTGAGCTAATATCCACGTGTCAAGCTGCAAAAATATAGATCAGTGTATTTAAATTTCCCAATCAACCATGCAATATCTATCTATCTATCTATCTATCTATCGATATATATATATATATATATATATATATATATATATATATATATATATTATCAATCGTTCATTTATATGGTGTCTGCTCGGTGTTTCGCAGAGATTATATCCACTTGTCAGGAATCTTAATTTTAAAAATGAATTTATTCTTTCTTAAATAAATTTTAATAATAAGAAAGACATTTTCCCAAAAATACATTTGTTTGGTGGTAATACTTTGCAAAACAACATCTATGTTAGACGCACAAATATATATATATATTTTAAGACATTTTATGTTTATACATTCTTTTTATAGATACAAATATTTAAGTAAATATTTATAATAAACAGTATTAAACAACATTTACCGGCCTGAATGTCCGAAAAAGTTTCACAGAAAATATTCGTCCTCCGACAAGATTCGAACCTATATCCTATACGTTTAGCTTAACGTGCCTTAACCGATATGGCCACGAAGGAGCGTTCGGTTAGCAAGGTCGAATTTACTGTATTTGAAATACAATCTTTATGAATCTCCTTCGTGGCTAAATCGGTAAAGGCTACATAAATAAAATACATTAATTCTTTAGTAAATACTTTGGCTACTTTTCGAATACGAAACTAAGAAACTAAGATATATCCTCTCGAGAAAAGTCTGAACGAATGAATGGACTTAAAAGGCAAATGTAACTTCACGTGATTGTGAAGTTTTTCATGCGTCTCTTTAAATTAGAGACTTTTCTGTCATTTCCTTTACACACACACACACACACACACACACACACACACACATATATATATATATATATATATATATATTGATGCAATAGGATAGAACCGTTAGATTTATGATCCGAAGTTCTTTAGTAGTTTTGCTTTTATTTTTAAAAAACAGTACTCGATACACAAGTAGAGGCTAGATTTTAATTATTTGAAAAAAAAATATATATATATATATATATATATATATATATATATATATATATATAAGCTGGGCTATATTTATGGAATAAAGTATTCAATATCAGAGATAGAGCGTATGTAAATATAAATATAAAAGTGAACATTGAAGTCAGCCCTCAGAGGCGACAGGCTGTTTCATGCTAGGCGTAATTGCCAGACCTGACGATTGTGCCTAGCATGCAACAGTCCGTCGCCTCTGAGTTTTAACCTCAATTTTCACTTCAGGCGGCCTGATGACTGCGTCTAGCATGAACTTTTATATTTATATTTACATACCCTGTTTTTCTTCATGTTTTTATTGTTTCCGAAGTGTCCGAAAGTCCTTGGGACATTAAAAATTATGCGATATACCAAATAAAGATAAATTGACAGAGAATGTTAATCAGTCTTTTCACCAGTTTTGGCCGGATTAAAAGTACGTAGAACCTTCCTTTTCTAAATGTTGAATCATAAGTATTTTCATTTTGTAGTGGAACCCGTTGTAATGAGAAATGTATCCTCCTGACGACTATGAATAGCATGGCAGTTCAGTATAAATTTAGAATTCACTGATATTCCCTATTTGTTGAAGGCAATGTCAGCGTCCATAGCATATCAAAGGCAAAATGCTGCAGTCTTTCCATGACATCGCGAGGTTGCATACTAGAAGGATAACATAGGAAAATATTTGGGAGCTCGGCTGGTTTGTTCTACTTCACCCGCCATATTACCATTTTCGATTCCTCCATTGTTTGGTTTTATTACACTTCTCCGTTTCTTACACTTACAG